CTCTTTCCATATATGGGTTGGACAGTCAGAATTTTCTTCTAAAACCAGATTTTATTTTATTTTTTAAGAAGGACAAGGAAATGTAGACAATCTCCAATCTGATCATATATTGGTAAAGATTAGGTTTGCTTATGCAGTGATCATTTTATTTACCATTAATCCCAGATTTATATTTTGAAGAATTCAAGAGTTTCAAGTTGAAATTCAAAAATTCGAGAATTTCAAATTGGAGGAAGCCCACAAACCAGCAACGGTCAGGGAAGAATTAGGAAAAGAATATAGTTCTGAAAATTTTGGCCTTCACCTTGTTGCTTTTAATGATAGCAAATGGTGTCTTCTAAAGCGAAGAGACAGGGGATGCCATGAGGGTAACCAGTCCCCAGGGGAAGAGCACAGTAGTGGGCTGCGCTTTCTGAGTGACATGCTGCTGTTGTATGGAATATGTTGATTTTGGATGGGTTGTCAGGTTGCTTTCTGCCACTCGCCTCCAGATTTACTACTGTCAGGACACACTTTTAGAAACTAAAGGTGAAAGAACTCCAGTGACAGCACGTTTTGTCTCTGAGTGTCACCAATAAGACTGTCACACAACGAGAAATCGCCCTGTGATTTTGAGAAATGAAAAAGTGAAGACATTTTGAAGATAACATCTAGCCAAGCATTTCTGTAAAACGCAGAGCTAAACAATCAAACAGAATCCTGCATATGGGGGAAATGATTTAGAGTCTGTTTCGCTGCTAATCACACTCACGCTCAAGTTTTAGATTTCATCTGTCTGCTCAGATCTATTGTAAGCCATTAAGTGGCTTCCTTTTTCCCCTACAAATTGAATGCTGCAACTGCAAGGAACTCTTTTGTTCTTTTAATTCAGTCAGCATGGAAATGATTTTCTCATTTCAGGCCCTTTTCTCTCCTCTCTTCATTGTGTCAATAAAATAGAGTTGTGCAGGGCCGCTGTAATCAGCTTAGAGTGCTAATTCATTGGCGGGATGCTATCTGGGTTTGCCTACAGGTGGGCACTCTAAGGGGTCAGTCTCCAGGGGAGTGTAATTGTGTGTCTCCTGGGGCTTGTTTGCAGAATGACCTAAAGCTGAAGTCCCAGCTCTGGAAGGGAGGGGGACTGACACACAGAAGCTAGGCAAACATATCCAACTGTATGTTCATGTGTCCTTCTGTTAGCCTGATGCTGTGAGGGGAGGTGCGCTCTCTGTGCTTTATGTAATTACGCTTTTCTGCAATTATCCATAAAATATGAATTCATTTAAAATTTGCACAAATTTCCGAAGGGTACAAGCAATTTTGTATTTCTGAGTACGAATTAAAAGTTAGGCTAGGATTAGTGTATGCTAATATGACCAAACCAAACTGAACAACAGAAAAAAGACAACCCCAAATTGCCAGTTTAGGGAAATACATTCTTTCATGTCCTGTGAAAGTTGCTTAATACGTAGATATGGGAGTATTACGGAGTAGTAAGTTAAGCTTTATGGGCACTAAGGAATTTCTGACAATTCTGGAAGGAGAACAGCGATAGGTTTTCTGGAATAGGGAGAAAAGTATCCCTGGGCAGGAAGCTGGGTGTGGACTGTAGCCCTCTCTGGAATTATTGTCTGAGAAGTGTCTAAAACATGCTCTGAATGAGTTTAGCTACACCCGACATTTCTTGTGTTAGGATTAAAAATTCTGTAACACCCTTTTATTTGTTCCTAGTAGTCACTTTTACTTTTTATTTTGGTTTACGTTGGGGTTAATTCCAGTCGTAATGGAAAATCTGGGCTTTATAGAATAGCTTTAAGCAGGTTTTAAAGTAGAAGGACGTGACAAATGCTTTTAAGCTCTGAGAACACAGTGTGAGCTATGAATGGGCTAAGCAAATAATCTTTCGTTTACTTGTGAAATCTAGTGTTTGTCTAATGTATCAGAAAAAACGCTACTTTCTTATTAGCAAAATAATTAGGGGAAATGATTATATTTTGAATATTCTGAGAAAAAAATTTCATGGGCACAGTTGCTTAGCATCAGATGGCAGAGCCTGAGTTATGGCATGTGAAGTAGAATGTAGACACAGATACTGGGTTGTATAAATGCGAGTTATTAGAAGACATTTTAGAAGCAAATTACATGAACATCTTTGTGTCCAGAGTGCATCCTTCCATTTTAGTTCTTTTGTTTTCCCCTTACTGTTTCATTCACACACTGTGCCAGGATCGCGGCTTTCCTAACATTGCGCCCCTCCCCCCACTCTCAAGTTCACCTTTTTTTTTTTATTTGTTTATTTAGAACTCATGTGAAGTAATAGCAGGAGGTGAAAGAGAAACATGGCAACTTGTAAGAAGTGATCTCTCATTTTCGTCCTCCTGTGGAGGGATTCTTATGTGGCTCTCACAGACACTCACAGCTTAAATCCCTTGCCTTAACAACAGTGTATTCTCTATTTTAACTTTTGTTAAGTATTAGCACTTTTTATGAGCTAAGCAGTTACGCTTTCATGCAAAATTTTCTCACTGTTGTTTTACTGAAATTAATAAGGTATTTGCTTAAAGTGTTTTGTTCTTACATCCTACCTCATTGTCCCATGTATCTTTGTAGGTAACTGAATATGGCGTTGTCATCGTATCATTAACTGTCCTCTATCATAGCTAAATGTTTTGGACATATTTAGGCTTACTAATTTTGTGAGAAAAAAAAGCAATATTTCATTAACTTGTTCAGAAATTTCTATCTTTATAGAACTAAATTCTAATGGTTTTTAAATAAACTAGAATCAACAGAGCAGTTTCCCTTCTTCCCCCAGGGGAAAAGGTCTCAGAGTCTTGGGTCAGACAACAGAGCCCTAGTCCCTTGCAGCTCAGTTGTCACCCTAAAGGACTTGAAAAGGGGTGCATTCTAGGGAGCGTTATCCTTCTCAATCATTTATTTCAGTATGTTTTCTGTGCTGAGAAAGCTTATCTGCTGTAAGAGAAACACTGGTGCAATGATTTGTCCCACTGTCCTAGCAGGAGTGCATGAGAATGGCCCCGTGCATCCTTTGGAGAGTTGGCTTGCTTTTGCTTTAAATCTGTGTTGTCACTTCCAAGTTTTCTAATGATACTGATGACTGTATCATCACCAGAATGAATGAAAGGAAATGAAGGAACACAAATGAGACATTCAAAGTTTCAGGTGAATGGTCTTTCTTCTTTTTGCCTCAGAGAAGTTACTAGGAATATTTTCACGCAGGTACTTTGTGTTATTAAATTAAAAACTCCACAATTCAGGGGTTACAGGCAAGGAGATAAGGTCATAGAAAGCTACAGAGTCACAGATGACTCCTGCTCAAATTCTTGGGAGCCCATGTGTGTCATTTTTGGTTAAAGAAATTGTGTCATGTTGGTAAAGATGGCCAGGTTCCAGGAGTGGTTAACACTTTCCTAACAGGAAAGTCTGAATCCATTCAGTCATCTTCTCCTAGCAATCTTGTGGTGGGGGTGGGGTTCTAACCATTCTAAATGTAAGTAACTAACTGTGTAAGTAACTAACTGTGGTGGGGGTGGGGTTCTAACCATTCTAAATGTAAGTAACTAACTGTGTAAAATGAATTACAAAGGAGATGTAGAGATGTTTCAGATTTCTGTCCTTCTCCTTCCTATATTTTCAGCTATCAAACAAACAAGCAAAGGCCAAATTTATTGAGTTCTGTGGTTAGAGAAATCTACCTCATGGAGAAACTTGGGCCTCTAGAAGACAACAGCAAATCTTTAAACAGATGCTTTCATTCCTAAATGAGAGGTCATTGACACAACTTTCTGTGACCCAGAGATGAATAGGTTCTCTCCATTATCAGTTTGCCCATCTGGGAAAAAAGGAAATTAAGTTCCTAATTAGGTGAATTTGGACTAAAGAGGTGGGGCCTTGAGGGGAAGAGGAAAATTGAGAGGTAGTTTATGCCGTTTCAGACTAATGATAGGATAGGAAATGAAGATGAGATCTGAGTCTAAAAGGTCAGTGGCCTCATTAAGGCTGAGAAGAGTGTATCTTCAAAAGCTGTTACCTGCAATGGGCTGGAAGGTGTCAGGTTCTGGGCATGGTCTGGGATGTAAGTACTTGGAGAAGATGTGGGGAAAATATTGTGCATGCTTCTATTGAATGGTATTTTAATATTACTAGAGAGAGAAAATGAGCCCTACCAGTTTTATAACTCTTTTGCACTCCGGGCTGTGTTCCGCATACCTGTGTCTACTACAGTATGGAATCAGTAAGGCTTCTTTTAGAAGTTTGTTTTCATGGTTAATGCAGTAAGTATTCATCCTCTATATGCGCCTCCTAGAAAGACACATGACTTTATAAATGGACTATGGCACAGATTAATAGTATTTTACATAAATGTAATTATTTACTGAAATATGCATCTCCTAGGTGTGCAGTACTTCTTAATGTAAATGAAACTTCAGCTTTTCATAATAATGTAAAATTTCCAAGATTCATAATGACAAGATGCATAAAACTGTGGGTTTTCCTTGTAATCTTTCAGAAGTCTGATATAATATTGATAATGCTATATTAAACAGTGAAAGATAATTTATAATAACAATCTTTCCATTGACATTTTCTAAATGTTTTACTGGCATGGATGAAACAACAGGCATATAATTCAGGCACTGAGAAGAGCGAATCAGAGCAGTTAGATGCTAAATTTATTCCTTTAGCCACAGGAAGACAGATTATGTGTTGGCTACCAGCTGCCCCGTAATTGTAAACAATGTACCTTTAGCCATTCAATGTTCTTTATAAGCATTTGGTGGTTCAAACTTGACTTTACTTGGGTAGTTTTTATCCAATCTGCTCTTTTCTTATTATAAACCACAACAAATATTTCAGATTCTTTCCACTGGAATCCAATCACCATGGTCAATTCCTAGACTTCTTTCTGTCTCACTGCTGCATATGTATATACAGCATCAGCCACAGTAACCATTTCAGAGCCTACATTTTAAAAATAAGTAAAAGGAAACAGGCATAACTAATCTTAATAATATATTTTTATTTTATCAGTGTATTCCAAACATTATTATTTATACCTGCAAAACAGGATAGAACATTCAGGGAAGGAGATAGCTCAGCAGGTAAAGATGCTTCCTGAAGGACTGGTGACCCAAATTCCATCCTAAGGACCCACACGATGGAAGGAAAGCGTTGATTTCTGCAAGTGGTTGTCTGGCCTCCACTCCCGTATCCCATGTGTGTGTGTGCCCCTCAACCCTCACACATACACAAAATAAATAAGTAACCTGAAATTAGAGAAAAATAATTATTAGTTCAAATGTTTGCCCAATTGGCAATAAAACCTTTCAAATCTGATGAGTATATTATACTCACAACAATCTTTAATGTAGGTTGGCCACTACTCAAGTAACTGGTGTGGTTACTGGCTCCAGTATTGAACAATGTCTTATACCATCTAGGGAACCCCATCTTCAGTAATGTGATGAGTTCAGTTAGTTATTAAGGTACTGGAGGCAATAAAAACAGCCGTGGGGGTCACATGGTCTAGTCCACTCATCTTTTGAGTGAGGACACTGCAGGTCAGGCCAGGTCAGCTGCCTCTGCATTGCCCTTGATCAATAGACAGGGCTTAGGTTAACTTCTGGGTTTCTTCCTGAATTTTAATTTATCTGGAATTCTATGCTGCTCTTGTTAATTTTATGCAGAAAGAAATGTAAGGCAACAAAGAGGAAAAAAAGAGAAAAAGCTAAGCAAGTAACCCAGCAAGTAGCCAGAGTACACAGAGTCAAACTGTTAAGATGGTCTTGATCCTGAGTGCAGAGGGTGGAGGAGTGTTCGCTGAACTTCCCTACTGGATTTGTATGATTTTCCTATAATCCATAGAGATTTTACAAGAGCATTGATACTGAACATAGAGGCATTAATTTTAGATCGTTTACCTTGGTGCTTCCCTTTGTTCTAAAGAAAACAGAGGGTCTCTTGTTTCATTTGACACGAATAACTAGAGGTTTTTAGCTTGATCGTTACAATTGAAATTCTAATAGGAAGATGATTGGGTCTCCTGTTCATTGGCCCGTGGACCCCAAAGACAGAGTCTGAGTGTCCATCCTTGTGCACGTTTTAGATTTTAGACAATATCTGAAATCCAGCCCCACCTGACAGTGTCAATAAAATACCACTGATTAGAATGCCTGTGGAAAGCAGGAAGGGAAAGATAGGGGTCTTTTGTAGGATGGACAGCTGCCAGTGTTGGTTCTGGGCTAACATTCCCAGATGAAATGAGGTGGGGCAGGTTGAGTCACATGATAACAACTCTGCCATCCTGCGGAAGCAGTCCCAGGATGAATCAGCACAGCCAGGACTGTGAAGTGAAACCCACTGGGCAGCAGTGAGTGTCACAGAACCTCCCTTAGCTGCTGGCTGCATACCTGTATCCATAGGAGGGCCCTGCAAGACGGCATGAAGTGACCAGAAGTGCCAAAGCCAGAGAGGGGCTGCTGTCCCTGACAAGATGGGGTGTGTAATAGTATCACCCTGTTTCCATTCCCGACAGTAGAAAATTCTACTAGGCTAACAAGGCAGAGGGTAATGAGAAACATGCCAAGGTAGAAGAAAAAAAGAGAAGAAGGAGCAAGAGTGAGGGGTCTAACCTACGAACAAGAAACAAATGTGATCAATTACTGCAAGTGTGACGCTCACAGATACCTTATCTTGTGACTCCTTTAAATAAAAGCCTGATTGTTACCAAATGTGTCTAAAAGCAGGCAAGAAAAACACATTCACCAGGGAGAGCAGAGAGGGGTGAAAGGGAAACATGACTTTATATCGATGTCAAACAAAACAAATCCCCCAAACTCACGCCATTCTGTTTCTAGAAAAGTGGTTGACAATGGACTTCACCAAGCAGGCAGTCAAGTGGCTCAGTGTCCCAAGGATGAAAACACCCCAATATGGTTTGGGTGGGGGAGGGAGGTCTAAACAGGAAGTGATCACTGATCGTTTTGTAGTCATTCTGAGATGTTTGTCTTACATAATTAATTTACTCAGATATTTCAAAGAAGGAAGTCCTCTTTTGCCGTGATTGCAGCAACAGGGTCTGATGATAGTAGGCACAATGACTCCATTAACCTTTGAACAGATCAAGAGGTCCGGTTTTTACAGCCATATCTTCAAGGATGTCTTCACATACAAGGTATTTCCTTGTCCTGTGACATACACAGGACTAGTGTTTGCATTTTTAGTGGCGTTCATCTTAGCAGGATTGCTTTTTGCCCAAGGAAACGAATGGGCCTGTTTTAGTGATGTCAAGTAGATGAGGGAACAACAGGGTTAAAGCTGTGAGGGGACTGGTGGACCTGGCCTTCCTATTCCCCCAGTCCCCATAAGAGCAGTAGAATTAACACTATCCCTTTCTTGGGGATCCTGGGTCAGTAGGTGTTACAGGATTATGTTATGAGGTGTGACTATGGAGCAGTAAGACAGTTTTTCACACTCCACACACAGAAGAGCCTCTTTTGATTTCAATGGGTAAAACAGTAAATTTCCTCCCGGCACTTGCCTCTGGTCCTTGCGCAGATGTATAAGCGCAGGAGCCGTAATCGTCGCCCTTGTTCTCCACCGTCAAGGAACGTGGGGATTGGCAGCAGGAAGGCTGGTTTTAGAATCGAGAACTGACTTCTTCAAGCTCGGTGTCTTGTCGGGAAGATGTCCTGTTGAAAGCAAAGACGAAATCCACTTCCAGAGGATTTCTGCTTTGTCATCATGTTGCCCTTCCCACATTTTCCCCCAATAAAGTTCTAGCCTGCTGGAATCAGACCGGGTCTCAGCACGGTAGACCGCCAGTGGGCTGTTTTGCACACTATCTGAAGCCCTGTTGGTCTTGTCGCGACTGACAACACATATTTATGGAGTACTTACGTGGTGCATTGGACAGTTCCCTTTTCTGACCAGGGCCTGCCACACATGCAGGATTTCTAACTGAATCTTTCTGTTTTCTAAAGTGGACATACATGTATTTGAGTTTCAGGAAGAGAAGGTCAGACTGTAGCAGAAACAGTCTTCTATGGGACGTTTCCATCTATTTAGAAGGCTGATAACTTGTTGGTGCACATTGTTTGGTTGTTTCTATGCCTAACTTGTTTTGTCTTTTGATTGGGGTTAACATGACTATGAAGGAAACACAGGCTCACAGTAAAATACAAATACCACATAAGTAGTTCTTCTTTGTCCTTGTAGATACTCTGTTACTCTGTGGCTTCAGTGATTCCTTGTATATGATTCTAAAAAGTTTATGTAAAATTATGTGTATACATATAAACACATTATAGGCTTATAGACAGAAGCCTCTTTATTGCAAATATCTATCTATATTTTCATAAACCTGCTCTTACTGTTGCAATAATACTTCAGAGATCTTTTTTCCTCTGTTTTATTTAATCATTTAAACAGTTATTTAGTTATGTAAACACACATACTACCATCCATTATAACTGATGGGCTCAAAGGCACGCACAATCAATGTTCTTATGTATCTTTTTAGACACATGTGTTTTTTAATTTATAAATGTAATCCATGTTTTTTCTCTGTTTTCATGTTAATGGTATATACTAAGCACACAGTTTTTGAGCTTGCTTTTTTGTCCACTCACTTTTTCTTGAGGTCATCCTAAGGCAATATGTAAAGAACTTCTTCCCTTTTTATGAGTTGCATAGTATTCTATTGAATAGATGTACCATTTTTAACCATTCCTCTTTGGTTAAACATTTGGGTTGTTTTTATTGTTACCCTCCTTTGCTATTGCAGCAATGCTAAGTGAATAACCAAGGATACATTTATAATTATGTCAGGGTTTGATAATTTTCTTTGACAATACTAACCAATTGTATATAGAGCAGCAAGCATATTTTCTCTTCTTATATACCAGCATGATGCATAAACAAGCTATTTATTTCTGCTAGTCATGGGTTAACAGTAGTTCTTCCCTGCATTTTAATTACATTTTTCTTATTTATGAGACTAGGGTTGTTTGTTTTTTTTCCAATACTTAGGGCCATTAATGAATTCTTCAGGTGGTGATTTAAGCAGGTATTTTCTTCCCTCATTCACACATCTCTGGTTCCAACATCTAGTTATGACAAGGACAAGGCTAAATTTTCATTCTGCACTTATTGACCAGATGGGCCTTTTAATTAATTCAACACAGTTCTTATAGTACGTAAGGCTGACCTCTTATATCATTTGGACCCTGCCAACCTTGGGTTATGATGAGCATTTAAGTTGGAATACGGGAGCATTTCTAGAAAGAAGAGCCCATGAAACAGGAGATAATGTTTCATTTGATTTTATGAAGAGACCACAACGTTTATCACTTCTGGGAAAACATGCAGTTCTCAGTGAAAACATCAGGAATGGTTTGACAGGACTGTCTGAGGGAGGAGGAAATCAGGTTGTTACAAGGCCTCCTGGACAAGCATGGCCCTGGTTTTACTAGCTTCATGTTACCATATAAGCCATGTATGTTTTCTCTTTCCCAAAGAATGGAAAACCCTGAACTTTCCTTTGCAGAGTGATGGCAGTCTTGATTTACTGAAACTTTCACTACCCTCCACATGAGCCATTTGCCTTCTTTAAACAGGTGTGGAAGTGGAGTGGGCATGCTCATCTTAGCATGGCTTTTTAACTTTTCAAAGAAGGTAGGTCAAAATAAAACCTCCTCACCTGTGTTGGTACTTTTGGATAATGGATTTTTACTGTTTTCATCCAAGTTGGCTGGAGATGGCATGAGGTAATCCACATATGCCCTTTTCAAGGGTTCTGTGTGGTTAACAGTGCCATTGTGTCCAACACTTGGAGGCATTTATTGCTATTTGTATTTCACATTGGCTGGAAAAACTGGCTACTTTGTGTGCATAAGGCTTAAGGACATTAGCTGGTACACTGGAATGGCTGGCCCAACACGCGTGTACAAAAGTGGAATTGGGTAAATTAACTTGTATTTGCCCTGCTTTAGATCTGCTGATAATGCGGGGTGCAGGGGCACAGAATTAAATCTCTCAATTCGTGGCTTTCAGGAGACAATGCCTTTTTTTTTTTTTTTTTTTTTTTTTTTTTTTTAGAGAGCTTGGGTTTTGAAAGTCTCTTGCCAAGGAGATTTGCCACCTCAAAATGCTGCTTGCTGCTCTCTGTTGGGATGGGCAGCTGGCTTCATGCTCTAGCAGGGTTAGAGAAGACTGTTTGACAGCAGGTAAAATGAGGCAACTGCACAGTCTGCCTCAGAAGGTAAAGTGGGAAAAACTTGGGTCAAAGTCATCAGACACGATGCCTTCTTCTCTTATCTGTGAAATCCCAATTTTTGCAAAAACTCACAAAAGCTTTCAAGCCTCTTTCCGAACACACAGGAAACTGCCTTTATTTATATTTGCAGCGAGATACGAGAGCGCTGCTGCCGGGAAGGTGTAAGTCAAGTTGATATAATTTGGATTGATTTGCTTTTAAGAGCTTTATGACGACAGTGGGATTGATGCCATGATGCAGGTCTCTCACAACTGGATTAATGCACTTAACAAACAATTTGACCATGGAATTTATTTCGATGGCTTTCACATTTACTGTTAAATGCACTTATTGCCTAGCAGCCGTATTAATCCCATCGTGACGTGCAGCAGTTGCGGCGAGGCACTCTGGGAGGACCTCTCCATCCCACCGAGATTCTAGATTCTCCCTTCTTGATCACGAATTTTCACTGTGTTGCAGATGGTAGTCAAACCCATGCGATACACACCCCAGATGTATTGCTCTCCTTCCCCTGATCCTTTAACACAGGCAAAAGGCCAATAATAGAAGAAAAGGCTAGCTCCGGAAGCCAAGATCCCAGTGTACCCAGATTTGCATGTGCGCCTCAAATTTTAGGGTATAGCTTTGGTCATTCACAAAGTTATGGTGTTTGCTTTAGAGACCTCATCCTGGTTAAATTCTAGATTGCACTGAGTGACTGCTTCTTTACAAAAAACTTTTAAAAGATGTATTATTTCATTTTATATGTGAGTGTTTTGCCCACATGTATATGCACTGTGGGCATGCTGTACTCACACTGTCCAGGAGAGGGCATTAGATCTCCCAGGAATGGAGTTACAGACAGATCCCCCACCATATGGGTGCTGGGAAAAGCAGTGAATGCTCCTAATCATTGAGCCATCTTTCCTGTCCCAGTGGGTTCAAATGATAACAGCTGTGCAACTTCATGTCTGTCAAAGAGTGCTCAGGATTCTTATGTTTACTGATGAGAAAAGAAAGATTTGGGAATCAAGGTCATTTGCCAGTAAGTCACAAACCAAAGTCTCAGTCTTCAGATCCTTCTATCAGGATAGGCCCCGGGGACTCCTGGTTGTAGACTAAGAAAATCATGTCTCTGTCTTCTGTCACAGTTGAAATTTGAGCACTGACTATTCCTGTCAGAAATGAGAGAAACACTCAAAGGCTGATTGACTTTCTTTGAATTATAGAGTAATTTAGCATTATTTGAAGTGGCAAGTATTTCCTTGCTATTTATGAATTCTATAACAATATGCCTAGAGTGATAATTTTATGCAAACTAAGTACATCCTTATATGTTATACATAAGGTATAGTGTTCCATTTTTGTACATCTTTAAAGAAATATGCAATTTGTATACAAGACTACTGAACCACAAATATTCTCTTAGGATAGCTCAGAGACAGAGTCTACTGTTTACTTGTTCACGGCAAAAGAGAAATACTAATGTGGATAAGATTTACTAGGGTAGAACATTATTTAAAAATTTTCAAGAAATTTCCAGTTTTAGGGTAAGCTCGAAAAATCAAATTGGTTTCAATTAGAAGAGTGATGATTGAAGTTTCTCTCTGGTCATTTCAAAGCAAAGCTTGCAAGCAGCGGATCTGGATGTGAGCTATTCTGAGCAACCCCAGGATGGCAGTGCA